GCGAACCCCCCTCTCTCCATCTGCTGCCCATGCTGCCTTTGATAGAGCCCAGGAGGTGACTGGCCTCTGGGCTGTGAGCGCGCATGGTTGGATCGTGTCCAGCTCTTCACCCACCAGCACCCCAAAGGCCTTTTCTGCAGGCAGCTTCCAGGTGACCTGGGAAAAGGACCTAACGGACAGAAAACGCATGTAGCACCATCAAACTCCTAACCCTGGAGAGTTCCCAAAGGAGCAGGGCAGGGCAGGACATCCATTCTCATGCTAGCTGGGTCCTCCCCTACCTGAACCAGGAGCTTCCAGTCTCATCCCTCCTCTCTGACACAGAAACTGGGTTCACCTGAGCATTAAGAAAGCAAAGGCAGCAATGCCACAAAGATCACCAGCTTCAGCATGGTACTCAGAGCCTCCTCCCACCCAAATCAGTACCTGTCTCTGCAGCAGGAGGCAAGGCAGGTTTGCCAGGGAGCAGCAGCCAGGAGGACAAGGGGCTGGCCAGGAGCAATCTCACCCCCGAGCTGGTTAAGGCTGCTGTAAGCATGCTGCAAAACCTCACCTAAAGCAAAGCCACAGTGCTGGCCCCAGCACGAGGCACAGGTCTCAGGAGGGCTCAGCAAACAGTCCGCACTGCTCCAGGCATTGGCTGCCACCAGGCTCAGACTCTCCTTCCTTTCTTTCAGAGAGGAGAGAAGGCACCAACATGTACATCTTTCCTTCAATGTAAGGATCGCAAGGGAATTCAAAGCCCAAAGCAAAACAACTTCTCCAGCACTGGCAGCTCCAAGGCTGAGCTGCTGCTTTCTGTGACAACTCTAACAGGGTTGGTTAAACCACTCAGCACATACTTGGCAGATGGACGTGGCTCCTGCTGCCTCCCATCCAACTGCTCGCAGTCAAAATGGCCAACAGCCAATGTTGTTGTTACCAACAGCTATTTGGGGACCCAGCTCTGGTGGACACGGCATTATCAGGTTCCTTCAGTGGGCAAATGCTCATGCTCCACAAATTACTGCAAGTGCCACAGGCCAAGCGGGCTCTGCAGAGCAACAAGCTCTCGCCAGGGAGCAGCATCCGCCAGCCCCTACCAGACCGTCCCTGGCTGAACACAGCCAATGCCCTTTGCCTATTTTACACTCAAAAAAAAAATTAAAATACTGTTTTCCTTTTGAAAGGAGTGTGACTGGCCTGCCTCCTTCTCAGGTACACTCAAATCTGACTGCAGCATTGCTGCAGCCATCAGAGTCTTCTGGCTTGGAGGAGGGGCTGGCAGGACAGGGCCATTGCCCTGCTCCCCAGAACATGGAACTGCTCATGTACTTGGAGAGGAGTCACCGAGTCCGGCGAGCAGCAGGGGAGAGGCCAGCCGTCTCCCACACCTCCTGCCAGCTGCTGGCTCATCCCACCAGCCGGGGACCATGCCAAGGCTCGCACAAACTGCATACAAACACTTCTGCTCGCTTAGGAAGCCCACGGAGCACGGAGCTGGGGCCGGAGGCACACACCAGGCAAAGCGACGCAGGCAGGAGGGGACCCAGGGGCTGTCGGAAGCACCCGTCCCCCTGAGTCCCGGGGGCAATGAAGCGGTGGGGCTATTTACAGATGTGCCAGTAACTGTCCTGTCGTCATGAAGCCAACAGACTGGGCAAAGCTAACCAACTACACACGGTTCTAAGAATAAGCGGGGACATTAATTCTTCTAATTATAGCTCACTGAACCTGGGAGGGGGAAAGCAGAGAGCAGTTTTTCACAAGGGCTGTTTACAGGCCAGAGAGCACCTCAGAGAGCAGGGAAAAAATCAACAACAGTGATAACTTCACAGAGTGATGCTATCAGAAATAGTCTGAGGTGCAAATAACAGGCTCAGGTCAGCCCGGCTCAGACCACGCTGGCTCCTGTCCCCTCTCAGGGCACCCCTCTTGGCATCCCACAATGATCTTGGAGCACGCCACACCCCACCGGCACCACAAACTGGGCAGCTCAGGCCAATCCTCTTACCTGCAGGGAGCTCCAAGCACTTGCCCAAAAATGCTCAGAGTAGAGACCTGCCTCTGCTTAAAGACAGACCTTGTGAGGCTGGAGAGAGGGTAAATTACCCCATCTCACCATGCTACATATCTCTGGAGCTTGCACAGACTTTGCTGTACCACATCACTGGTCTCCAACAACAGATCCCATCTGTACTACTCTGTCCAGCTCACTGGGTAAATAGTTCTGCTAGGAGGACAGTGAAAACAAAAGGTCAAATGCTCCAAAATTCAGACTCTGCTTTGCACAGATCAGAACTGGGGCAAACAGGTCTTGCCCTGGACACCACAGTCAGATAAATGCCTTCTAAGAGCTGTTACCTGGACCAGATAGAGACTGTGCCTTAAAGGAGAGAGATTTTCCCTTTTTGTTTCCTTGGTGGTAGATAAAACAGTTCAGAAAACAGTATTTTTCAACATACAGAGCCATTAAGATAAATAATGAGAGTTAAATACAGCCACTGAAATTAAAGTTATGTCAACAGCAGCAGACACAGAGCTCCCCACACAAAGCTCCCTCAGCTCATGAGAAATCAAGAAACGCATTTTCAAAGCAGCTTGATACACAGAAGTGTTCAAAACCCTCAGACAGCTCAAAAAATCACCAGGACAGCTTTCCTCCTTGGGACGGGGAGGGAGGCAAACAAGCAGGACTGACTCCTGGGAGCCACAGCTCAGCCCTTCCGATTTCCATGCAGCTACTCGGCCACTGCCACGCTCTGAAATCATATACTCCTGGAATTAAGTTACTTTGGAATTAAAGTGGTTTGCAAAAATCAGCAGAATTCTGCTCTGCAATAAATCCTGGGACATAACCTTACTGCAGCGAATGGATTTCTCGCAGGCCAAGGCAGACCCGCACCCGCCGGCACCGCCGGCCCCCTGCGCTGACTGTTCCGGAGCATGAGCGAGTGCTGCTGGGAGGCACAGAGAAGTTCTCTGCTCCAGACGCGCAGCACTGGCAGCAGCAGAGGAACCCAGTGGAGAAAAAAAAAGGAGATTGGGTCACCTTGCCACAGCCTGGATGCCTTTGCAGCAGCACTCGGTGTGGAGCTGGGTTTCATCTGGGAAAAGAGTGCTCATCCCCTGGGAAACAGGCCGACGCTGCTGTCAGACAACAGGCACGGCCGTGCTGTGCCAGGCCCGAAGGAGGAGGGGCAGGTCCTGCACAGCCCGTGGGCACGCCCCTCCTCGCTGCCTGGCTCAGCCCCACTCACCGCCATGTACGGCCGGCACCCCGCATCCCGCGTTTTGGCGATGGAGTCCACAAGCTGTCCGCTAATGCCAAAGTCACAGAGCTTAATATTCCCATTTCTGTCCAGAAGAATATTGGAAGGTTTGATGTCTGCATGGGAAAGAAATTTAGACCAGTAAGTCACAGCTGGAGGTTTCAGCGTGCAGAAGAGCGGCTGCAGGGAATCGGCACCGGCAGTGTCGCACCAGTGCCACCAGTACTGGATGTGCCACTGCTGAGCATCCTGACCAGGGGCAAGAGGAGATGGAGCCGGTCCCGAGGATGCCATATGCCTGGAGTCAGCCACCCAAACATCCTCAAATCGCGTTTGAATGGAAAACCACAGACCTGAGAGGCAACGGAACAGCCACCGGGGACAGACCTGGGCAAACCCTGCACACACGCTCCTGGTAGTGTCCATCCTAACTACACTTCAACTTCAAGCAAAAGCTGCTTAAAATTCTTGCAACTATTTTTGTAGGCAAGAAGAAAACACACAAACTCACCTCTGTGAATGATTTTCAAGTTTTCTTTTAAGTGGTTTAGTGCTTTCACAGTCTAGGAAAGAAAAACAGATGAAAAATAAGCAAATGTCATAAGATTCCTGTAATTATTAAAATCTTGGAGCTCCAAGGAGAGGGAGAGAAAAACATTGAGTATGTTGAGATATCAATGCTGTAATATGCCCTGTAATAAAAGCACTTTTCTCCCAACCTTTCCAGCAAACAGAAGGTGAGATAAGAGAGGGCATGGGCTTAAGGGAACACACATCCCTCCTACCCTGGAAAGATCACACTCAGGGAGATGGGAGCAAGGGGTGAACTCAGGCAATTTCTGATGTTAATTATCTTGAGCAATAACGTATTCCAAGCCCTGTGCTGTACTTCTTTAGTAGGTAACAGCTGTCCCCATTCCAATGGCTGAGCACCAACAGCGTGGGGAGCAGCAGAGGCTATTCTGATCTAACCATTCACTGTCAAATGGAAGAGACACTGAGGGAGCCTGATTTCACAGGATGATTTAAAACCCCCAGAAAATTCACCATTTTAATTCATTTTGTGTCTGCGGAAAGTTCATCCAAATCTATGACCAAATCTATGACTGCGGTGAAGATGATGGCAGAAGAACATTCCAAAGCTGTGCTACTGTAATGATGAAGTCTAGCACTGAGGAACAACCCTCAAAGACTGGCCCTTCCTCCTTGTCTATCCCCACGTTCAGCTGTTTAGGTAACTGAAAGTGCTGGCAGGTTCTGGGGTGAGCTGAAGTGCCGTCTCCTCCTCACCACACACCTCCAGTGCAGGCTTCTGCTCTGGCAGCAGAAGCTCCTATATCTCTCTGAAGTATCAACTGATTTTTAGGCAGGCCCATGGTGGAATGAGACTGGATGGCCTCTTGGACTTGAGCTTCAGCAGGAGAAAAGTCTGCTGGACTTTGTGACTGCTGGTTTAAATCCCAGGTGACCCTGTCAGAAGCTTCTGCCCCCACCATCAAGTAGATAAAGCAGAAGCTCACAGCTCTTCAGACAGAGCTAAAAAAGCTCTAACATGAGATGAAAGGTGGAGCACATCGAGCTGCAAGCTGCAGAAAATACCCCACCTGCACAGGATGGAACTACCACAGCAGTGCACACAGACCTTCTGGACCTAGATGCCCTAAGGTCTAAGATACTCGGGGCATAATTCTCAGGGTATAATTCTTATACTCATTATTAAATGCCAGTCATCATCTGTTGTCTAGAAAAAGGTGGACAGAAATGAATCACAGACCACAAGACCTCATAAGAACCTGTCTCAGCTAAACTAAAGCCAGTTTGTCCAGAGGACCTTCCTCAGGAGCTGCTGGGGCTGGCCTGCCTTCAGGTGCAGCATGAAGGAAGAAAAACAGTGTTCAAAGAGCAGCCTATGACTTCCAACACAGCACAGCTAGGGTCCATGCCCTCAGATCTGTTGTGGGTGTCACGTATGGAAAGTTTTAGATCACTCATTCCATCCAGCACTCAACCCCAGGTCAGAAACAACAAAGGTGGCCACTTCCCAGGTAAGGAGTTCAAGCTTTGGTGTGCTGTCTGCACAGGGTAAGTAGAGAAACTCCCTCTGAGAGCTTCAAAACTCATCTCAAGTCTCTGTCCAATCTATCTTCCTGGGCAAAAACCTTGCAGAGTCTTTCTGAACCAAAAATGTCAGCCAGCATGTCTCTAATACTCTGCAAACCCTAAAAGATTCTCCTTCTTCTTTCCCCCATGGAACTATATATAACTCCAAGCAGACTACTCTACAAGGACAGGCCTTACCCAGCTCTCTCTTGTCTATGTCTCAAGCCTTCCTCTGGAGAGTAATGCATTTAGCTGGCTGGTGGTAAGACAAAGCCTCCCAGGGGCTGAAGAACAGCCATGGGCTGCCTTTGATAGAATCTCAGTCTTGGCTATCCACATGCCAGCACGTGACAGTGCCTGAGCTGTCAGGGCAGCCTGTCAGCTGCCAGAAGTGGCGCCAGGTCCCGGCAGACTCAACATTTTATAAAGGCGTCCCTAAGAAGAATGAAGATTTTTTTCCAAAGATCTGGGCCTGATCAGAATTTGCCACAGCCTTCATGGGTCATGGTTGTGACTTGCTGAGCACATTCCCACCAGTGACAGCTCAGGATACCAGCTCACTGTGGCACCCGTGTGCTGGAGCCAACGCAGAGGCGGTTTGCCCATCTGTCACCATCACAGCAGGCTCCAGCATCTGCTCACACTCACTTCTGCAGCCCTTCATCTTCCAGCAGCCTCCCTGGATGAATTCGTTTGGCTTGGCCTTGACTTTTTATTGGGCCAGGACTTCCAGTTTAAGTTAAGAAAACATCAGCCAGGTCCTACACCTGCTCAAGACTTGCTTGTACTTTGGGAGCCTTTGTACAAGGCTACCTGAGGTTTCTCTTGACTGGCATGGCGCAGCATCCCCTGCAGAAATCCAATGGACCAAACAGACTTTTAGGGGCAGCAGCAGGACAGAGGTTGCAGGATATCTTTCAACACTTCTTCCTCCACAGCCCAAAACCAAAAGCTTGCAGGGCCAGACCTTGCCCTTGTGTTTAGCAACTAAGGGTTCATTTTAACACAGCCAAAGATAATTTGACACAGCTCCTTCAAGGAAGACAGTGGGCTCTGTGTCATGGGGCTGTACTCGGATACCCTGGGTGTGATTCATCTCGCTTGACTTCACCACCTAAGGCACCAAGAGATGGGAACTCAGCTCCCACAGAGAGGCATCAGCCTCTCCCTACTGACCCGAGAGTGAGCACAGGCAACCCACTGAGACCAGACCCTGACTCTCAAATAGCTGGGGAGGGTTCACATGTCCTGGTCATAAATGCCCTTGCTCTCTTTCCGAACAAGGGAAGGGGAGGCAGCTCCTCTAAGTCAGGCACCTTCCTTGGGATGAGATGAGCTGCACTCAGCTTCCACTGATGCCACCACCAGTGCATGTGAAGCGGTCCCTGAAGAGAGGGCTGGTGCCTACACTGTCAGTGCTGATGTTCAAGCACGAGAAAGCTTCTGAAGCAGAACCAGGAAGCTGGTCCTGGGCTCTCTTTATGAACCTATTACAGACCCCAGGACCTGCTTTTACATCACGCAATACACTGTGAAAAAGTCAGAGTACACTCAAGGATCATTAGAAGTGTGGTGCAGTACAACAGCAGTTCTGCCGCATGAAGATCCACCAGCTTCCTCACATGTGAGTGAAAGAGATCTGAGTTTTCACATTAGCTTCAAAACCAAAAAGGCTTAACAAAATACTCACAGCTAAAGTGATTTTGCCTAGGATTTCTTCTGGAATAACATCATCTAATACACTATATACATATTTGTAAAACTTATCAAACGAGGTAGACATGAGTTCCATACAGATCCAACAGTCACCCTGGAAAAAGAAAAGAATCTGTGTTACTGTTGAGACAAAAACGAGAAACAAAAACCCAGAAAGCATAACGAGATCCCTTGAAGCCAAAAAAATACGTCAACAGCAACGTGCACTTGACAGGAAAGATGGAATTCATGGCAACGAGTTTTAGCAATAGAAGACTCGCCCCCATATGCACCTCTCCCCACTCCATTCACCAGCAGAGACATCTGGCTGACCAGCTCAGACCTGATGCTACATTTGAGATGCCTGAACTTGGATGAATCCGAGTCTCAAAAGCTGCTTGGCTGCCCAGAAAGCTGCAGGCGCAGTGAAACGCCAGCATGCACAGTAAAACTAAAGAAAATCCCTTCAGCTTATGGCTACCCCGCAGAGGACAGAAGAGACTTCACACAGCATTCAGAGAGATCATCTAAGCAAGAGAAAATGAACCCAAGCATGTCAGGGGTTTTGCTAATTTGCATCTTACAGTGAAACAATTTAAATGCAGGAGATTGTAAAACACACTAGTACCTGTGTTAAAGCAAGCTAAGCTGAGCCACCTTAGAAGAATAACTTGTCTGTTTATCAAACTCTCTTCTGAGATCTGTAAATCAATCTGCTCACAACAGATTCAACTGGGATACAAAATGGATCCCCACAATAGAGAAGAACTTCACCTTTTGTTTTAATGCATATCTACCATATGGTGATGGACAGCTTGGCCAGGGATTGATCTTAGTCATTTAAATTTCTCTGAACATTTCAGCTCCAGTTGAGGATGACAGAAGGCTTTGCATGAGCTATTTCCGTAAAACTCTCTGTGCACTTCAGGCAAGTCTTCACTGCTAGAACTAGACCTACCTTCACCAGAAATTACAAAATCTTACTTATCTGCTACAGGCTGCATCACAATGAGTGTTAAAGTTGCATTAACTGTCAAAAGCTACATGCAGAATGGAGTTGATAAGTCTGGTTGTCTCATCCTGGCTAAGTACCACCTATAACACTTGTGCAGGGAGCAGCAGCTTGTGCAGCTGGTGCTGCCCTGTGTGGTTCAAGGCATGTGAAGCCCATCTGGTTATGACTAAGCTGCATACCCCTGTGATATATGAAGCAACAAATAAAGGAGAAACTTCTCCAAATAATTATCCTACAGAAGGTAGATTTTTGCCAGCCAGACAAAACACAAATCCAACCAAACTCTATGTTAATAGATGGAAATGAAACTAGGAATAGAACCCTGGGGTATGGACATGCTGGAGGTGTGGCAAAGCCTGATGCTCCCATCCTGCACACCCAAGTCATGGCTGGTTGAGAGCCAGGAGCAATATTCAAGTCACATTTAGCTGATGAAAAAGCTTGCAAAGCCACTTAAAGATGAAAAATGGCTTTTCTGCCACTCAGAACAACTTCTTGTGAAACACAAGTCAAGGAACTGCATCTGCCAAGATGCCTCCAGCCCAAACCTTGGTTTAGCAGGAAGAGAAGTGCTCAGCAGAGGTGCTGTCACACGCTGCATGCTGGTATCACGGAGGCCGTGGTGGCACCCAGCTCAGCCTTGGGCTGCTCGCACACGTGCAGTTTCAGCAACACAGCCAGCAAACTGCCAGGGAGTGTCCCACGTGCCACCAGCATTCCGGATGCTGCTGCTTCAGTGCCAGCGCATCCACCACTGCCTCCTGCCAAAGGAGGGATGTCACCCCCGGGAGGAGAGGCTCTCCCTTCAGACAGGAGGGTACCGCTCTCCTCGGAAGGGCTGAGCCAGTGGGCTGGCACACTGCTTATTTGGTACCAGCTTCTGTACACCAGCACAGGGTAGAGTGGGAGCTGATGTCATCCACCCAATGGAAACAGCTGCTGCAAGCCTGAGCCCAGAAAACACCCATTTCACCCAAAACAAAGCCAAAGGGAGAGACGGAAAAGGTGCTGTGTGGACACAGCAGCAGAGACACCGTGGTGCGAGAGGCAAGCCCAGCACAGCAGGAAGAGGGCAAGACCAGTGCTGCAGGAGACACGGGGAAAGGTGAGCTCAGGCCGCTGGAGAACAAAAGATGAGCTGTGGATAACTCTGGTTGAGGACCTGCTCAGATTTAACCTGCAGAAATTAAATTAGGCAACACATGCAGAAAATTTCCCTTTTCAGCACTGGCAGCAAATGCAAAGTGCAGTTGAGGCACTTGCACATTATTAAGACCACTTAGACTGCAGAGGATTGGACTTGTTCAAGAATGCCAGACCAACTGGTTGAGAAAGGCGATTCTGCCCCTCTACTCTGTTATGGTGAGACCTTAGCTGGAGTCCTGTGTCCAGCTTTGGACACAAGAAGGACATGGACCTGTTGGAGCATGTCCAGAGAAGAGCCACAAAAATGCGTAGAGGGCTGGAGCATAATTCATATGAAGACAGGCTGAGAGAGTTTGGGTTGGTCAGCCTTGAGAAGAGGAGGCTCCAGGGAGACCTTATAGCAACCTTACAATACCTGCAAGGGGCCTACAAGAAGGGAGGGGAAGATCTGTTCTCAACAGTTTGTAGTGACAGGACAAAGGGTAATGGTTTTAAGCTAGAGAATGGTAAATTTAGGTTAGACATCAGGAAAAAGTTCTTTAATATGAGGGTGGTTGATCACTGGAACAGGTTACCCAGAGAGGTATTGGAGGCCCCAGCCCTGGAGACATTCAAGATCAGGCTTGACAGAGCTCTAAGCAGCCTGACCTAGTTGGAGATGTCCCTGCTCATTGTAGGCGGGTTGGACTAGATGACCTTTAGAGGTCACTTCCAACCCAACACATTCCATGATTCTATGAACTGCAGCCTTGTATTTATGTCCAATCACACCAATACTGTATCTTCAGTTACCCAGGTTACAGCGGCTGGTGCAGGACAGCTAAAGCAATCCAAAGTGAGACAACCAGCAACCCTGTTAGAGCCATTATTGTAACAAAGGCTTCACAATCTACTTTGTGCATCTGCTGGGTTGGGATGTGCATGTTTCCACAAACCACAGAAAAGTACAATATATTGTCATCCAGTGTTAATTTAAGCATAAAAAAACCTGTACGTGATTAAAGCACCAAAGTAAAGACTTGGGTTTACTTTGTCTCCTGAATCTTGTGCCATACAGAAACCCCAGATATAGGCATTTATTGATCTGGTAATATAAAAATCTACCTGATCATCATGAATTCATGTCAGCAAAATCAATGAAAAAAGATGACAGACCTTCTCAATTATTCAGCTTCATTAAGGTTAGTGGCAAGATTCAAAACTCTACAGGTTCATAACCTCCTGGGACTTGAAAGGACGTACCTATTGGCAAAGCTGTTGAATTTTACTGAGAACAAAAAGAAAGACTGGCAGGGACACCTGGGTACCAGTCACCCAGCCCCTCTTCTGATCACATACAAAAAAGTGCTGACGTGCATGGGGAAGTTCTGCTTCCTTTTGAATTCTGAGGACAAAACCATCTTAATGAAAATTTTAATTTATGCTCTTGGTTGATTTCCGATTATAAAATGACAAAAGAAGCATTTTCATTTTCTCTTCCTGTTAGAGTTATTCTTCCAAAGAATGTATTTTAGTCCTTATTGGGTATTAAATTACCAGGTTCTAATGTACATCTTGTAGGCATTCCAAAAAATGTCCACGAACACCCTGCACATTTCATTCAAAATATCACTGCCTGTCTCCAGGACATACAAACCACCAGCTTAACCAGCAACTGGGATGCTTCAGGTTCTCAGTGCAGAGTAAGTCCCCACTCAACAACCGAGCAGGTCAGAAGGGTGCCACCCAGCTGGAATGCAGCTTGGAAGAAAAGGACTTGGGAGTCCTGGTGGACACCAAGTTGAACATGAGTCAACGGCATGTCCTTGCTCTGAAGAAGGCCAGTGGTGTCCTGGGCTGCGTTAGGCAAAGCACCACCAGCAGATCGAGGGAGGGGATCCTGCCCCTCTGCTCAGCCCACTTCTGGAGTACTGTGTCCAGTGCGGGGTTCCCCAGTACAAGACAATCATGGTCATACTGGAGAGACTGGTAAAGGGCCACTAAGATGACTGAGGAACTGGAGCATCTCTCTTGTGAGGAAAGGCTGAAAGAGCTAGAACTGAGGGAGCCTGGAGAAGACAAGGCTCAGGGGGAATCTTATCAATGTATATAAATACCAGAAGGGAGAGTGCAGAATGGATGGAGCCAGGCTCTTTCAGTGGTGCCCAGTGACAGGACTGGAGGCAATGGGCACAAACTGACACACAGGAGGCTCCCTCTGAACATCAGGAAACACTTTTCACTGTGAGTGACTGAGCACTGCCACAGGCTGCCCAGGGAGGTTGTAGAGTCTCCAACCTTGGAGATATTCAAAAGCTATTTGGGCATGGTCCTGGGCAAGTGGCCCTAGGTGGCCCCAACTGAGCATAGAAGTTGGACAAGAAAACCTTTGGAGGTTCCTCCCAACATCCACCATTCTGTGACACCAATACTGAAGGCTTATCATGTTACCACACTTGCAGAGAGTGGCCAACTCTTTATGCAAATTGCATCTATGCTAGTGAGAGATAATGAAGAATGTCATCACCCTCATATATCCTTATGTGACACTTTTCTTTTGGACAAGGGACTGATCGCAGGGACAGATCCCTAATGTCAAGTTTTCCATAGAAATACAACGTTGTACCTCAACAGCAAAGACAGCAAACACCTTGTATCAACTGACTAAGGATATGTCTACACTTCACACCAACATCAGCACTGCGCTACCAGCACATCCACACTCATTCTTCTCTCCCAGCAGAAGCTCCCCACAGGCTAATTCACCTGCCTTCCCAGGCATGTTTTGCAGCTTGCAATTAATTTTTCATGGAATAATTTCATCAGCTACTGAGTTTGTTAGTTTAAACTTGGCTCAGCTACCCTCGCACCGCGTAGGAATCACTGCTGAGATCCCAAGTTGGACAAGACTTTTTTCCTCTTCCCCTCTTGAGAAGAAAAGTGACAGGAGCAGTTACTTTGACAGAGCAATTAGT